CGTGGCAGTATGGGAGAAGGCCATCTTCCAAGAGATTATAAATAGCTCCATTTTGGCACTGCTCATTGGACTATATTTGTTTTAATTTAATGCCACTAAACTGTAATGAAAGTTAAAACATTTATATCATATCATGAAGGTGTATTATTTGGATTTTCACTGTTTGATAATAATAAACTATCTTTGAGAAATTAAAACTAAAAGATTGGGATTACTTTTACCTTTCACCTGACATACATTTAAACAAAAATGGGGTCGAAGCAGTTAAAAAAATATTAGTAAAACTATAGTTAAATATGCTTTGTACTCCTTTTTATGTTAAGAGTGTGTGTGTGTGCACATGCATGTGCATGTGAGTGCACAGGTGCACCATGCATACACATGCACAGAATAGTAATGTCCATAGTGAACAAGTACCAAGTATCACAGAGTGCATTTTCATCAACAAAATTCCTTTTAAGAAACTTCAGTACCTTGGAGGTAAATTATTGCCCTAAACACAAAAACACTGTTAGCAACAGTAAACTATATCATTAAGCAGATACTAAGAATGACCATTACCTTTGACCAATAATCACTGACCATTGTCCGATCCAGCTTGACTACATCACCACTAGGTGAGAAGACTGTAATCACTGTCACTACTGTAATTATTGTCCTAAATACACAGCAGTCATAAACTCCAGCCCCCTGTCTACAATAGTAAGGCAATTGTTAAAGGTTGTACAATCCCTGCATTTAACCCTACTTAAGAAGGTGATATAGAAAACATGGTATTAAGGGCTATTAGACAGTTATTCAATGACAATTGAAAACTTCAAGTTTTGTGGGAAAGAATAGAAATCAATCTTCTGCCCTGCCTGCTTGTTGGGTAAGGGGTATGTGTGTGTCACTGGGAAATGTGACTAATGTGGTTGTGGGCTGGGGCTGAATACTGCACACTATGTCCTCTTTGACCTCTGAGACAAGTTTCTGAGGATCATTGTAATGCAATAATCTTCTCATTCTTTGAAAAAAATTTGGGTTGTTCACTCATGGTAAACTATCATTTATGTCTGTAAGTTGTTACTCATTTTCATGCAAACATTGGCAATGTAAAAAAAATCCACATGAGCCACAAAAAGAATCATTGCATAATTAAAATGAGGAACTACAAGAGGATAAGGGATACAGAAAAAAATTAAACTGTATGCTTTTAAGCAAAATCCTTATCTGTCATTAATTTTCTAATGTTGAAAGTCACACTGTTTTAATAGATTTAAAAAGGAAATGTGCCAAAATAAAATTTTAAGAGTTTTTGATGAAGCATACTTTTTGTAGGAACCAAAAGTCTTATACATATGGACACTTTTAGCTTTAAATATTTCTTTTTTAATGCACATATCAATCTCCATATTATTGAACAAGAAGTCTTTCATATAATTTTGATATATCTTAACTGAACTTAAGCAAGCAGGTAAAGGGAATCTTTAAATGACAGTTTTCAAACAGATGAAAACAAGAATTCTGTATTAGTTTTCAAGCACCAACCTTCATTCTGTCTCTTCGATACCACAGAAACTCACACACAGTTTTTTACCTAACAAACGCAGAGATATTCCTGATGAGTATGAACCCATTCACCTGTATGTGAACATTGCATAACCAGTGATCATGTTGATGAGGTAACCCTGGGGGAGTGAGTGACAGTAATAGGCCAAGAGCCACCTTCACCTGTTCTAGGGAAATAAGACCTTTTATACAGGTGATGGAAAGTGACATCCAGAGTCAGTAATAAACTTCAGAGACATTTAAATAACCCATAGTTACAATGCCTGATACAAGGTCTGATGGCCATTCAGGATTCTTCAATCTGGCACCTCCCAGTACATAAATGAACATTTTTAACAATAAGTGAGCACAGATAAAGATATGTAAGATATGTGTTTATCTCATCAATCTGCTCCTGTGTGATATTAATAAAACAACGAATTCTTGCAAAAAAAAAAAAAAAAAAAAAAAAGTAGAATTCAATATTTAACTGAAGTAAGTGTTATTACTGAAAAATTATTTATGAAAAATAAAACAAATCAGATGTAAAATGAAACAGTATTGATCATCAAAACTAATTTTAAAAATTCCTCATCCTCATCAAAAAGTTTTCCTGTGAATGTTACAAAACCATCATCAGTTGATGAAGAGATGAAACATCAATAAGTGTAAAACTGTCACAGCTTAGTCATAATCTACCAGTAAATAAGCAGCCTTAACTCTATAGTTCAAAGACCAAATCAGGCCAAACACGCACACTGAGGTGACCAAATTATCATATCCTGGCAATTATGTATAAACCACAGCAAAGATTGAATGCTCTAATTTCATTTCATGAAGTTGACCAGACTTGTACCATGATGGAACAGGGAAATTAACATGAAGTACATAGATGTACCATCATGGATGTTATCTTTTGTACTGAACAAGAGAAATTTAATCAATGCAATGTATGTACCAGTATGCAAGTATTAATGTATTTATGCTAGATTTAGCAACATGGGCTACCTCACATATACATGTATCACAAGAGGTCATCATCAACCTGTACTGGATATGGATAATTAACTGGGATGAAACAGTATATGTCAATATATGTTCAAACAAATCTAATTACTGATTCAAACAAATCTAATTACTGATATAAAACAACCCATCTATTTCTCACAGTTTTCCTTTTTAAAATAGCACCTGTAGCATACCTTCTGTCTATTTCTTTCTTTTTTTTTTTTTTTTGAATCAATATTCATGGTTGTTTTTTAAGTCTAAATTACTTATGTGGATCAAGCAAAACTGATAGAGGTAAACCTGATTCTGTCATAATTTGGAGTCACAGTGCATCAATTTATACATCATGTATGGATCAAGTATCAGTGATTACCACCAGCGTCACTCATGACACTGCAAGTTACACAAGCCTGACAATAATGTTATGGCAGTTCATCATGCATTTGGATATCATAACTGCATCATAATTGCTTAATGTGCTGAAAATTAATACTTCATGCCAGAATTCATGACAAATAAACTCATAATTTCTAAAGGATAAAAACCTTTTTTCATTCATAATACCTCCTGGTATGCAGTTTTAAGAAAAAAGACAGCAACAATAAACTAGTTAAAAGAGAAGATGTTTTCCTGCAACAAGGTCGATTATGGTGACGAAAAAAAAAAAGTTCAATGATCAATCAAAATTAAGCTATCAAATTTATTTGTGTTTTTCACGACAATTACCCTTATTTTATTCCACTTTGATGGTAAGCATGAACTGACTATAAGCACAGCAGGTGTGGGACTTCTCATACTTAAAGAATAAATACCAACATTAACTATCCACTCCACTGTCATTGATATGTTTCTCTTGTCAAATAGGAGGGTTTTCATGGGGAAATTTAACTGTCAGTACTACAAAAGTTCAACAGACAGCAGATATTCTGCTACAACAAGTAGCTCTGACTTATTATAATGACACATGTTTTCAAATACAACACCATGGTGACAAATTCTTCTTTCCCTATTTGTTTTGTGACCAGATATTACTTTTTTAGAATTTCTCAATTTATGATGATGGAACTTGATTGTCATTTTTCCTCAATAATTAAATACAACATATGAAGTACAGTAATCTTTAAGATAGCGGTGTTTGAGGTTCAAATTTTCAAGTCTTATTTCAGAAATGAACCAAACAACATTCATCCATGTTCTCTTTCAGTGTTCTCCAAGCTATGCCCAGTAGATTATAAAGTCTTCCCTAACTCATATATGAAAAGTCAAAATATTTGATATAGTATCATGATGTCAACCTTCCTGTGTTCAAACTAAATGATATTATAAAATACTTCAGTCTACCAGATGTGCACACATTAAAGCAAATACAACACACTTATAAAGTAAAAAAAAANACACACTTATAAAGGTAAAAAAAAATCAGTTAACATTTTGCCTATTTTAGAAAGCAGTTAAGACTTTAAAGAAAATGTGTTGTGTGAAATATGAAATAAAGTGTAGCTGTAGCAACCTGTGAAAAAATTTTATACATGCAACCATCCTGTAAAAACTAACATGTCAGTTTACTGAGACCTCCTCATGAAACCCCATGGCACAAAAATATATAAAAAACCTTTTTTTGTCATTTCCAGTGCTCTGTTGCTCCTGATAATGACACATAATGGGGTGTAATGGAGAGCAATCCAGTGTTGCTGCATGCAACGATGACAAGCCTTTAAAAACTTCATCATCTCTGACTGGAATTGCCTCATTCCCCATTCATTCCCGGCTAATGGTGTGAGAAGCACCCATTCTTTTCTTCATTAAATGGTAAAAAAATCCTGTCAGCATTTAACACGACTGTAGAATTGATGAGGATATTAATGGCAACCTCGTGTTATCGCAGCTTTTCACAAAAACTGGCAAAGTCTCCCTTGTCACTGTAACAATTGCCAGCCTCCAGTGATTGGATGTATAGTATTGGTTTAATGGGCTATGGTTTACTGTTCACCACAATGACACTAACAATACAGAGAGTTTCAACTTGCTGTGTGTTTATGGGCACATGTTTGTTTGAACAACTATATTTTTGTCTATCCTTATCCAGTTACAGAGATGCCATTATGCCAAGAATTAAGACATTTCAAAACACAAATTCTGAAAAAGATGGTGTAAATGAGCTGAGTAGCTGGGTTACAATGCCCTTCTAGAATGGAAGTCATATGATTATCACATTTTTAAAGGGCACTTTTCCCTTCTATTCTTTTTATACCTTTATTCAATGGCATAAGCTTTCTTTTCCTTTTTCATATTAGTGTTTTTTTAATTTTAGATTATAGTGTTTTTTTCACACCTGACCAAAAAAATGTTTGTAGTTCAATTTCTATCATATCATTACAAATATTAAGGGTCAGTTAGACTATTCAACTGAAATGGGCACATTCTGGCCTACATTTGACCACAAAAATAAGAGATTGATTTACCTGGGAAAACTGTGGGAACAAGGCAATGGCAACAGGCAAGGCAAATCCAAAACAGGCAGTTACTACTGCAGCATGAATGGGTAAGTGAAATCTTGGACGAGTCTGGAGAAACTTAGTCCTGAAATAAAATAAATTAAATTGCTCACTAATAAAAGGACTGAACAGTTGATTACTGTACTTTCAATGCATATGCAATGCTGATTATAAACTGGATAAAACTTTTTTATAAAGAATATAGAATTCTGCTCTAGCATGCCATAGTTTTGAGAATTACATTTAATTTTAATATCTTCACTGTCAATGTATGGCATAAACATGTCAATGAGTTACCAAAATAAAATTTATTCTAGAGAAAAGAAGCTACTATTTTAATCATCACCAGATAAAAAACAAAGTAAAAGATTCATATCAAACAATGTTAACACTGAGTTAAAGGACTTGAAACATCCTGTTATCTGCATAGGGTTGATGTTCTGCAAAATATCAGTTTAAAGACTTTGGGCACCTTAAAAGCAGATAAAACTGGGGGTTATTGCCATCTATAAAATAGGACACAGTCCTCCAGGCCACAGACGCCTCCTCATGATAAAGTGAATAGACCTTTTGAACAACAGACCAAGTGCATTTTTTCCAGTAACCGTGGAACTGAATAATGGATTACAAAAACCAATCAAAAATATGGAAAAAAGGTTTGTAGTTTGTAATATTAATTTTGAAAATTTGAATTCAACCACCTTATTAACATCAAATTTCTGCTTTGTCAGATTAGTGTGTGTAAAACTGAATTTATCTTTGGTAATGTGATATACAACATCACTCTCAAATTCCACCTAAAGTGTCAACCATACTATTAAAATATGACAATAATGAAGAGGTCCACAGCCATGGACATGTCAAACAAACCTTAGATATATTAGATTGCTCTTTTTCTAGACACAAGCAACATCTTACACAATAAGACAAGTTTTTTCATGCACATCAAACAGAAATAAAGTCCCCAAAGCAACACACTTTTCATGATAATGATTATTTTTCCTATTCAATCTATATACTAAACATATCCTAAAGCTAACTTATCTGTGAAAAATTACCATGAACCTTTTCCACTTAATTTTCTTGTTCAATTTGAAAACATGTTTCCAGGCTAATTTACTTTTTCAGAAGTTACAATGTCTCTTCTCTTTCTATGCTTTCTTGTATATTTTGATACAATGTCCTCGAGATAAAAAATGTCTGAAATTATCATGTTTCTTTTTTTATATTCACTTTTCTCGTATATTTTGATGCTATATCTCAGAGTTAATTTTTTGTAGCAAATTGCCCATGATTCAAGCAGACTTTTCCCCTCCAGCAGCAACACCTGTGTGTTTGACAACTTGTACTTAATCATGGTGAAAATAAAACACCATGTTTATGAAAGGGATACTGACTTTTATTATTTTTTTCTTATTTCAATGGGAAAAACTAATGGTGATGTCGAGGCATATTTGAAAGGGAAAATAGTTTTGTGATAGAGTGCCTAAGGAAGTTCAATAGAAAAAAATGTTGCTATCATAATAAGACCCTTTTTCTTACAAATTCTTTTGTGAAATTCAAAAGCACACCTATTTATCAAGTAATTTGGAATCCTAACCACTTGATAATAAGATGGCTTATTTCCACTATGACTGTGACAGGTTCAAAGGTAGTGTTCTAAAGTGGACAAGTAGAAAATCTTTTTGACAAACATTTTGACAAGGAACAACCCAACTATTTGCAGGGAACACTGGTAAAGTTGAAATTATAGACTCGTCCCATTGTCACCAATGTCATCCTAAGTTATATCTTTATTACATCATTTCATCTGAGAAAAATTATATCAATTTATGAATGAACCATAGGGATTTTTTAAAATGCTGCTCAAATCAAATTTTTTTTCTATATTTCACACTACCTGCCTCTTTATATTATCTATCATTGAATACTCGATGTTAAATCACTCACTTTTCTAACTGTGTCATAACAACAGGTGGTATAATGAGGATAGGGGCAGGTAACACAGCCCTTGTCATAGCCGTCTCAAGGAGGGCCTGGAAATATTCAATTTCATAAATCACAATAGAAATAAAATTTCAAAACTTATCACTTAACCACTATGCATCATAAACCTTGTTCTTGCTGCCTGAAGAAGGACCTGAAAATATCACATTTTTATTATTAAGAAAAAGCAAAATAGAAATAAGGATTAAAAAATAAATAACTTAACAGGTTATCAGGCTTGGATATGACTATCTCAAAGAAGATATAATGGCATTTTCTTTAACAAGAGTAATAAAATAAAATCAAAAATAGTTGAAATTATAGTTTGATTAAAAATTAAACTGTTCTTGGACAGTTGTCTCCTATAGAGCCTGAAACTAGAATATCTGACAAAATAACACAAATATTCCAAAACTTAACCAAAATAACACAAAAACTTCACATACCTATTAATCAACAGGTAACAGAGTCATATGGATGTTTATACATACAATGAAAAATTCTAGTTTTATGAGGTCAGACATACTACATAAATGATAGATAGATACATCTATAGATAGATAGATAGATAGATAGATAGATAGATAGATAGATAGATAGATAGAAAATATACATGTAAAAACCCTAATATAACGATTATAAAAAAAAGAATAGAGCTGTTTCCAGGCCAATCAGATATTAATCACTTATGGTCACCACATTATTGAAGGGATTTGTCTATAAATAGGAGGTTTAGACATGTTCCTTCATTACATTGTGTCTGATAAGACAGGCTCACAGCACATGTATCACTGACTACTTGGACACAAGCACACAACAACTATCAACATATACAGAAGATATCAAATAGTCTACTGACCCTTATACTAAAAGACAATCACTCCTGTTCCAGTTATGTTGAATTGGCTACCTGTGTAAGCATGCAAACTTTTAGTGTTTGTACATACAGAATTTTATGAGCTTACACCCTCCTACTTGAATATACTGGCTTCACATTATACACCTCCATGTAAACTCCATTCAGGTGAACATCTTAAAACTTGTAGCAAGACCGATTATCTGATGATAATTCCTACAAAATAGCAGCCTGAACCAAATGAAACTACTTTCCAATATATCTAAGGAAGATTGAACAAATTTCAAAACAGAACTAAAGACATATCTTTTTCAGTGATATAACTCTTAAAAAATCCAATCTGTTATTATGCTAAAGGACAGTCTATTCCATGCCCTTTATATTTACATATATCTGAGGTTTCCTTATGCGTGAACATCTTTTTATTTTTAGATAAGCTTTAAAACAAATATATCATTATTTTATAATAATATTAATTAACAGTCAGGTTGCCTAATCACCAATATGTGTTCATGTTTTTCATACCTTAATCTGTGAGAAATGGCATGGGCCATAATAACGAATTATGTTCTACGAGAGTTTTGAATGAACATTCTCTTAATCTCTGACCTCCTTTTTTTTCTCCATACAATATCACTGAAAAGATAACCACTTTTCCTCTTGAATAACTCCTTAGAAAGCCTGACACCTACAACAATTAAGATACAGTTATATTCAATTGTTATTCACTATCTTATAAACCATGAATCTTTGGTAGACTAGGATTACATTACCTATAGCCTGGTGTGGCCTGAAAGCACCCAAATATCCCAACGCTCCATGACTTTACCAGGAACATATCATCAAATGGAGATAAAAAACAACATCCCTTGTTCTTTCTGACATTGTCTTTAAAGATTGCACAATTGATATTTTTGTGGTTGGTAAAAGAAATAAGATATAACCAAGATGTATATAACTTCACATGATGACATAAGTTTCATAAGTGTTTATATTATTCATAAAAAAAGATAGCAGGGTTCTCACGTGGCTTTTCATTTCATAAAAGAGATCAAAGAAAAAATGAACAGTATTAACACCAGCATCTACCTGTCCCTAAAAAAGCACTAACAATTTAACAATGGCTAATAAAATAAGATCAAAGGAAAGGGGAAGTTAGTTGCATGTAGCAACAAAACATCAAAGCTAATCCCCATATTATGAGCTAATTAAACTATCAATTAAAACTTTAATGAGCTATAAGTTGTTCTCATTTGAATGCATGAGTTTTAATGACAGTGAGAAAGACAGAACACATGGTAAAACAAACAAATAAAATACACTCTAGATTCAAAGTGTGTCATTTAATGTATTTTTATTGTGATACATGAGGAAAGAAAAGATGGAATTCTGTAACATATGCTACAACACTAAGGACTAACTTCCACCTATCATTTGTCAAAATATATTATTATTCAGAAAACATAACATTCTTAATTATTCAATATTAAAAGAATGAGCAAAATAATAGTATTTACTATCTGTACCATTGTCAAAATAAAAGCATATATTAATAAAATATTATACTTGGTTGCTATAGGGGTAATTAATATTCAGTCGCAGGTGAGCTTTATAGGGGCACATGTTCATTATGGCATATTTTAAACAAACTTCAAAAACATAAGATGTTTTGGGAATTTTATTTTAATGTTATTTCTGAAGAAATCACAAAAAATATTATGTTACTTCTTAAGTGGTATCCACTCTTCTCCTACAACAAATAAATTGTTTCTAAAAATATAAATTCTAGAAATACAGCTGTTTAAAATTTCATTTCTGGAAGTCTGTGACACTGCATTCAATTGGAAAAATGGAGTCGCTCCTTTTTTAATTTCAAACTACTTTTCAACTTTTACATACAGTATTATTTCTAAATGATGTACTACCTTCTTGGCAGCAATCTGAGATGTTCCTACTATCCTCCCTTCCTTGTCCATAACTTCAATACCTTCAGAAAGTTCATTATTTCTCATACAAATGACATTGCATACACTGGCAGTGGCTGGAGGAGAAAAATACAACAGGTAAAGTATAACCAAGATCAACAAACATGCTTATGGTGAAAATTTATGATTAAATTTTCACTGCCTTGCTTTAACAAAGTGCAGTGAACTTTAATGAAATCTGTCCTAAAAGAGGTGCAACCTGGTACCTGTAACAATTGGTTGGGCAATGATGTCGTCTTCTCTATCACAATGATATTACCCATACTACAGCAAAATCACTCCAGGTTTACAGTGGACATGCTCCAATGGGACAACATACTGGCACACTTTAAAGCCAACTATATTTCACTTGGAGTTTTTTTTCCCTTTATTACCCAAACTCTTTTTTTTAAAGATACTATCTAAAATAGCATTTGTCTGGATTCAAATGTATTTGTACATTGCCCATCTCTTCCTACCATGATAAAAAATGGTGTATAAAAAACATTTATGCTTAACCATCTTAACATTAATAGAGCGCATTTTTATTATGAGTATGAATAATGTCACCTTGACATCAAATCTCTATACTTAAAAAAAAATATATATATATATATATATATATATATATATATATATATATATATATATATATATATATATACATACACACACACACTCACCAACTGCTGGAAAAGGTACAAATCTCTGGATGAGGAGTTTCATGGAAGGTGTCAGTGCATTTGCTCTTTTGATCATCACTCCTAGACTTACCTGTGTAAGATTTTTAGCTAAAATTATATTTTTCTAAAATAACAAATTAACAACTTTTATGCTTGAAAGGGAAAATAGAACAATAAATTCTATGTCAATCCAAAAAGATGTTAAAAGGGATCTAAGTATTTCTTAAGTAGAGAAGGTCAAGTTAATCAGTAACACGTATATGGTGGTATTTGTATGATGACATATCTATTCTATCTTACCGCTATTGTAACTGCACTACCCACGGCTGCACCATACCCTAGTAAGAACCGACTTATCGGTGTTGGCTGAAAAAGAAACAAACTTTTTAGCTAATTATAATGTATGTTTTTAGATAACTTAAGAAGAGAAAAAATTGAATCTGAATTGGATCTTACTAAAAATGAGAAACACTAAGTTTCGACCTTCTTGCCATTTGCTCTTCTTTTCTCTTCTCTTCACAACTAGATGAATCAAAACATTCACTTTGGTATGTTTTGAGACATCCGCCTCGTCTAAAAAAATCTTTTAGTTGTTCTTCCAGTTACAACATGAGTCTTCCACCGTATGCTACATACAATATATTATATCGAGGGGCAGCCAAGATATAATCAGCACTTGTGACATCTCATACAGTGGAAGATAAGTTGTTGTAATGAACTTATTCCATGGCTGGTGCTTCAAACAATAGGATGATTGCACTTATATTTCACTCAGAATGCAGTGAAGCACATTAAAAATACAGTAAGTGAAATACAAGTGTAATTATCTTTTTTTTTTCTAAGCGCCAGCAGTGGGATAAAAACATTTTACTGGAACTTATCAAAATGTGAGTTAACTGATTCGTTTTACTTCACTACCCCATCATTGTGTCACAAATTGTTCTTAGGGTAAACCAGTTCACCCATTTTATCATTCTCTTTAAAACTGTACAAGTTTGCCAGCATTCCAATTCTAAATATGCTAAGTTATGTTGTTTATTGTGTGTGTAACTAGCCACTGCAATCAATAAACACAACATATTGTTCTCAGTGAGCATGGATAGACAGAAATGCATAAAGTATGCATAAATAAGTTAAGCTGCTGATTCTGTTATATATCAGAAACAATATTCAGCCTGTTCTGTATGAACAACTCACAACTTTTATATTGATATGCCATTTACAAAACAGAAAACTGTATTACTACTGATAATAATAATGATTTATAAGATAAGGACCTAGCATGATGTAATGCTCCATCAAATGTGTGCTATTTGGTGAAGAGCATGACCTGGTTTTATCCAAGAAGTTTGACTTAGCCTTCATCCATCCCACATCTAAAAGGGATTTATCCCTTTAATAAACCATGTTGCTGATGGTATTTTTACATTCACAGCCTAGCCACAGCCTATATTTGTTGTCTTACCTTCGTGGCATTTCTGTTAGAGTAGTTAACACAGGCATTATGACTCTGATTCAGCCACTGCCAGAAGATGGTGGCTTTAATGGTGGGATTGGGAAGGAGAAGACCAACAACCTGAATGATAAATAATATTTATTATCTTCAACTTAATATGCTGATATTCTAGAATATCTAGTATCACCAGTACAAACAGACAACTGTAAATCTTATATGCTATTTTCCAAGAATGTATTAAAAGATCTATGTTATACATTCTTTTCTTTACCAGTACCTTCATCCTCATTCAAAAAATATAGTTTTCTACTGGAACTGACACTTTAGCAGTGATGTCTGTGTATATAAAACTCATCTTTGGTGAACATAATTCAATGTTAAAAAAATAATGCAGCAAATTATACACGGTACTCAATCTTTTCAATGCTGGAAAATTGTGACTTTTACAGATACTGTAAATTTTAAGTCATAATTTCTTAAAATTAGAACGTACATATCTAGTGGTAGCAACAAAATTAATATAGTTCTACTCTATGCAATAAAAGCACCACAAGTGCTATACAGAAATACCATTTTTGTGATTATAAAATTCTATGTCTGAAAGTTTGATAATTTTTGCTCATTGCAAAGATTGAGTAATTTCCATACTTTTGGGGACTTACAATTGGGGATCCAAAAGGAACAAAACCTACAAACACAGAATATGACAACAAAACAGTCTAAGAGTGTGAAATAAACAGCTAATTCAAATGTGTTAATAATGTTACAACTAAGTAAGATAAAAATGAATTAGTTTTATTCACAAAAATATATTAAACCTTCCCAAAACTAAGAACAAAAAAACAATAATGTTATGAAAAGATTATCAAAATCAGTACCATAATTAAAACAGATAATAGTATAGTATTAAGTCCTTATGAACCATACCAGACATCCTAAATGGCATGAATATTTTTTCACCAGTATCAGGATGGATAATTGCCTACAAAAATAAGAAAATGTTCAAATAACAACAACAAATTGTACACATTGTCTTAGATGAACTTAAAAATTTAGTTTATTCCTAACAATTAAACTTTTTAATTTCATTGTTTATTTTTTAGCTATCTATATTTTTATTGAAAAAAAAACTCTGTAATGTTTTCTTATATTTTCTGTATATAACCCATGTGTTTCAAAGACATTAAGCATCAGTTTTATTTCATATTTACTCATTTTTATTCATTATTTTTGTTAATTTATAAAATGTTTTCTGTCTAATTCGTAATCTATGTACCTGCTTTATCTTTTGTGCTTCCCATAACTCTTTGTTTGAAATACTAGGAGGTAGCTTGCCGTTTTGAAAGTCCTGCAGCAACTGACAACTTTCCTTTAAACGTTGCTATAAAAAGCATAAAACAAAACATGGATATAAGAATAACATCCCAAAATATTCACATCAAACAGTTCAATGGCAAAGTAATTGGAAACCAGAATGTTTGAGTATATGGCAACATGCTGACAATATATAAGGTAAAGTATTTTTATTAATATATTTATTATCATACATACATACATCTACACACACACACACACACACACACACACACACACACACACACACACACACACACACACACACACACACACACACACACAGTTTTGTTAACTGTCTTCACATCATCCACATGGATTACTCCAAAAAGATGTGTGATTACTGCAACAATTTCTACGCACAACACTGATGCACCCATACTATGTACATACACATTCCATACACATCAGAGATCAATGGGTAAATATCCATACTCTATCATATGATGGTTTGTGGATACAAAAGAAAATATGGGCACATGCATTCATATACACGTATGACAAGCTATTATGAGTTAACCAGAAAAAAGAGAATGCATTTACATGATAATTACCAAGGTACATTTACTAGTACATGTAGATTAATTGCCATACTTCTCAAACGTGTCAACATACAAAAAATATCTACAGAGAATATCACTACAAGATGTATACATATGATAAACACAGTATAATAGTTGAAAAGATACTTTATTACCAGTGACCATACTTAAATACCTTTAAGGTAAAGTAAATGCATTTTATTTTATACTGTATATATCAGAATTAAGAGTCTAAAAGCACAGTATGAACAATACTTACATTTGATGTAAATAGGGTCTTTGGATCAACAACATCTAGAAAGTGACGCAGTCTTCCAGAGAATGTGTTCTGGTAAATCAAGATTTGAAACAAATATAGAAAATACATAAATATGATAAACGTGTGTTTAAAATTATTGTAGGGTGGGTTGGGTTATTAATGCAAAATTTATTTTAAAAAATTTTAAACTATATAGCATTTTAGATATTTAACCTTAATGTCAGGTGCAGTTTCATGAAACCATCATTCGAAGTTACTTTCCTCGGTTATCTTTATTTCGTATCAGCAAAAGCTCTAAATAATTAGTTATCAGCACTCGAACAGGTTGAAAGTGACATTACGCTTGATTTATCCGGTGGGAAGAACACCGAGGATTATTCTGTTTCGAGCATTTCTATAGGGCAAATATCCTATTAGATTTTCCTTAAGAATTATTCCAATCACCCACTAGGTAAAGCAAACATTACCTGGTCAAATCTTGATTCATTTAGTCGAAATGGTGGAAAACCATCCGAGTCTAGCTGCAAGTTCGCTCCCGACGTCGCCATGATAATTCTGCTGACCTAGACCTCTAACACAACGAGGCTGAACGTGACCTGGAAGGACAACTAACACACGTAACTTGTGAGTTGTGAACGTGCGTGCGCAGTCAAGTGCACCTGTACATTAAATTGTCTTGAGCCATTATAATAAATATATTTCAATTTCCACAGGTTTATCTACAATTTAGGCTATTGTTTAAAAGGTGGATTTTTGATATGGGCTTAAAAGTGAAGTAGCTAGGCCATTTCGAAACGCTTGGATTTCAATAACATCCTGCAAAACTTAAATAATTGGTAGGCATACCGATAAATCAGTAGGCCTATTCGATGTGCAAAAATATTAGGCTGCTGTAAAAGCTTTTTTAAGTTGTTGATTATCATATTCTACTCTCGTAATTAACATGTCGGTGCGATTTCATTTATCCAGGAAATTCAATGCTCATAACATTGCCTGAATACTGTCATTTCTCCAGTGTCATTAGAGGTTAACATCACGATCATTATGATTACTTCTTCATCCATACACACTAAACTATCAGCGAAACTATCTAGGGTCTATTACGGGATAACGTGAAATGGGAAATTACTTTTCAGTCTTACGTTATGTGACCTTGCTTTTACATTAGATGAGTTTTGAGTTGGATTTTCTTCTCTCAATCTCACACTAAACAAAGACCCTTCCCACGGACCAGTATAATCGGGTTTAGTAGTTTGTTTTTGAAGATAAGCCTACGCGGCAATAATGTTGTAAATTCTGTGCCAGAATTATCGTATTTTAGTTAAATTTCATGACCTCATTTGAAACCTTGACCTTTTTTGTTTCCTGGAACCAAACGTACAGCACATAGGTGAACACATACCAATAGTTTTCACCTTCTCGCAAATGCGTAATTTGTCTGTTAACATTTAAAGAATAGACAGGCTTCCTATATTAATCATGATTAAATGACTGTTTTCAGTAAAATTCATAACAACGCTATTCTTCGCGTGGAATATAAGATAATGTAAGTTAAAGGTCATCCATGATTCCCAAGTTGCATTTTTTTTTCAATAACTATATGTGGCATTTTTTTCTTTGTTTCTTATTATTACGTATCATTATTACTATCTGCAATGTGATCAACAGAGAACAGATATGAGGATGTTTCCTTAAATTTTCATCACGACTTTATACGTTTTAAGGAAGATGATAGTTCGCCATGTTATTTCTTGTTTACCAGAAGTTAATTAAAAAAAATAGGTGCAGCTGTTTATTTTTAATTTTCAGATCAGAGACATTGTTTTTAATTACTGTGATTCGCACAGACTGTACATTGTAAGTTTATCCTTTTTTTACCATGCCCAGAGGTTCACATTTCTGTACAATCCGGTCTGTGCATTGTGTCATCTGAAAGTAAAGTAAAGCGACATGTGGAAAATAAATATCAACAGAAAAATAACACATTCAAATAAGATTTCGTACGGCCATTAAAGCCTGAAAGGCATGAACGAATATTTTACGCGGCCAAGCGTCGGCCTTACGCCCTATAGTAGCTCATCCTGCATTGTGCCACATGTAGAGCCACATCAATAGTGCCCCGTCCCCCTTCGTTCATACAATTAAAATGATTGGAATATACAAAGAATGTTTTTTAAATGAAGAAATTAATGAAAGAATATGGGTCTACATACTTCGAATGCAATGGTGGAGTCGAGATGTAACAGGTGGATTGCTTATATTTTTTCGACCTTTCTGTAATAAGGTCTGCATTTGGCCATGCTCATGATGACTTCTTCCTTCATTTTTGCCAAATTTCTGCAATGTACCCCCTGCCAGTGCATGTGGTGTCATTAAGTGTAAGTGTCACAGGCCATCAATGCCAAGGTGTCAATCAAATTCAACTAGTTGTCATGGAATACATTCCATAGTTAAACATTAAGTGAAATCAGATACCGGTTTATTCACCAGCAACACTTTAGAAAACTCACGCTTCATGTTCTCTGTGCCTCTGCAATAGACTGTTCTCATGTTCATTTTCTACATGATAGAGTAACCCGAATAATCATTCCTCCCCCAATTCCACACAGGTAATTGAAAACAAACTTTGACAAAATTAGAATATTCCTTTCCTTGTGTAGCAAGTTGAAATTAAACGCATTCATTGAAATCATGACTACACCACATAGCTCAATTTGAACGGAATCTTATCGAAAACATCTGCAAATAAATTTGTACAGGTAAAGAGCATTCGGTTAATTTGACAATGTTAGTTCGAGGGGGGATTCTATTGAGGAGCTCATTGGGGCGTGGACAACGATACGATTGCAACTGGATTAAGCTACTTAATAGGATATTTAATATTTGTTACAGGGAAGGAAGGATGAAAGGAAGCGTATGCTTACTACACAAACAAGACTGCATGTTGCAGTTAGTGCAGGTGATAGGTGCGAATGTTTACCATTCGCGAACAAACAGAGGCCATATTTTTGCTTAAATAAAGAAAACGTGAATTTCTTTTATAATCCAGCGAAATGGAGAACCTCCATTGCAGATCCAACATATCAGCAAAGATAGTGCAACTGGTTTTAAATTTACCGTCAGCTGTAATGAACGTTTCTGTTAAATAAATGAAATTATGTTCTTATTTTGACAATAATTATCGTGTGGCAGTGTTCTTCAGTAAGTAGGCCTGCGCCTTGCCTCCTTCACAAATGAGATAATGTGATTTCAATTACTGTCAATCAAAATTCCAATTTCCATCCCCTTCTTTACTATTGTCGTCGTTAATATTCTGCTACTTACATGAATGAGGGTTATTAAATACGACCGTGGACTGGGTCCCGTATTCACCGCCCATTAGCCCCGAAGGCAGATTTCTATTGGCCAACAGCGCACTAATTGCATGATGATTGGCAGCTTCGCTATATAAATGACTTCCAATCACGTTTTTGTAGTAGTTCGTGTTCCACAAACGGTGCCTAAACTACAGTTTTTAACAACTATATATTTAAAACTGTCACAATCAGGATGCAGAGTCCACTGAACGGTCTCCAGCAGAACCCAATGTTTCAGATGGCCCTGGCCAATGCCTTCCCCGCTGGTTTCAACGTCCTAGGCCAGCCGCAACTGCATCCCGCTTTCCTGCACTCACCGTACGCGGCCAACCAGCTCAGCTACCGCCCCAGCAAGGCCAGCAAGTCCTTCATGATTGACGCCATCCTAGGACGAAATGGGGAGAAAGAAAACACCAAACCACAGCCTGAGCTCACAGTGGACAGTGTCCATCCGTATCGCTTGGCTACAAGTGTGATCCCAAACTTAAACAACGGTCTTCGACAGGTTTTGAATACGCCAAAAGGTGGGTTGATAATTTTGCACTTTATATTTAGTTGTTTATTATTTTCTTTTTTTCAAGTAGATATATCATTTTCGTTAGTGTAAAGTGAACAGTTAACTGGTCCTATATCTTTACTCGTGCACCTGATTTTTTATTTGGAAAATTCCGCACAAACTGCATTATACAGAAAATGTTTTTGAAAAATAAAGATAAAATCAAATCTGGCTATTAAGTTTCTTAAAAGTTGCAATACTCGGCAAAGTAGTAATACCATGATGTACTAAAGTGACGGGTATGTCTTTGTCATCCCGGCACATTTTAAAAACGCATTTGTTTGAGTTTTACAAAATGACAACAAACCGCACATGGCAACAGGAAAAAGCAACGAGGTCAAAGGCAAAACCACAGGTGCAAAGATCAATGTATTTATTGTAATGATTCCCGACTTGAATAATTAATGATCCCATCTTGTGCAGTATGGAGTTCATCAGCTCTAAAAGAGGATTTATCTAAACTAATAAACCCCAGCATCTAATGGTGGTCCATTGATTGGTTTCAAAAAATACACAATAGTCCCGAGAATGGTTTTACTCCCCTACCTGTGTTCAATCGATGGATTTACTACAGGCATCTACCCCCACTGAGAAAAAATCGAAAATAACCATTCTGGCCTTTTCTATGGCCGATTGACAAAATTGGCCCCAGATCTATTAGTCGTAATGCTTGAATTGAAATCGTCATTACTCAATTTGACATAATTGCTAATGAAGTCCTTCGGGCTTCATTAACCAAGACGACTTTTTCTCTGATCCTTTTGGTCAATTGATTTAAGGTGATTACAAAGGAGTTAGTAGTTGTTACTTATGAACGTCCCTTGTCCTATTCTAGGTAAATTGGAGCCGAAAAAACTGTCCGCCACTCCTGGTTGGAGACAGAGTAAGTCCAAGCGTGTCCGAACCATCTTTACGCCTGAGCAGCTGGAGCGTTTGGAAGCAGAATTCGAGAAACAGCAGTACATGGTCGGCTCCGAGAGGTCCTACCTTGCGGGCACCCTCGACCTAAGCGAGGCGCAGGTGAAGGTGTGGTTCCAGAACCGCCGCATCAAATGGAGGAAACAAAGTCTAGAGAAGCAACAACAGAGACTGAGACAGCTAGATCTCCTGCACAGCGAAGAGTCTGGCTGTGAATCTGAAGACGACGACAACGCCAGCATTGGAACTTCCAGCGACTTTGGCAGTGAGGCTGGCAGCGATCACTAAAGCCCCTTCATTTCCACTCTCGCAGCCCCTAAGAGCCACCGTAGACAACCTTTAAAAAAAGACATTAGCGTTCTTTACTGACGAGCATAAACTCCCAAAGTGCCAAAAATAATGCCACCTAGTTGAACTGATGGTATAAGCACCAATACAAAGCGGGAATTGATATTCTTTTGGTGAGTTTACTACAGTTTTTATTATCAAATGTTTTTCGAAGATGAGAATGTAATGTTTATTTGTATAGTAATTTCAATGTCGATGTAATTTCAATTTATGTAATGTCACATTTTTATGTCTTGATTATAAAAACATTTTCACTGGCATTATCTGTTGGATTTAAAACAAAATTTTCTTACCAAGTGTTTCTTCGCTCTTTTCAGACATTCTGGTGTTTTGGTCACAGTGTCTACATGCATGCAATGACGGCCGCCTATCCTGCCATTCTTGGAATAAAAAATCAGTTCAAGAACACTTGTAAAGCGCATAACTTAATTCTATACGTAATGATCATGATCTGATGAATAACTCACATGCATCTGACACTGATATCAAACGACAAGAGCAGAGATTAAGGATTTCAAAACAACTGCACCAACCATGTCAACCAAGAGAAACTAAAAAATTGGATGGATTTGACTTTTATGCGTTTTCATCCATGTGCTTAACGTCTGTTTTAGCAATTAACAAAATAGTTAATTTTTCTGTGACTGATTACAACATTGCTTATGATACTCATTGATGACTTGTCATGACAGATTATTTTGACGCTTTAAAACAGTTTCATCAATTGGTTATTTAGGCAACTTTAGCTTTGCTATAATGTTATTTTCAACTATTTGAATATTGTTATCATATCAGCACTGTTTTTTATTATTGTTGAAATTGTCATAATTTTTAACTAATTTTTACGTAAGGAAGTTAACTTTCTGAAAAGTAACAAAATCACTAGTTTTCTTCCATTGAATATCCATGTTAAATATAGTTTGTTATACTTTAAATCAATCAAAATGCGACATTCGATGTTTAAATAAAAAACAAAAATTCAAATAAATTAAGGAAATTAGTTTGTGGTCGTAAATGGAACCTCGCTTTCTACTTTTAATTTTACTTTTAATTATTACAGACTGCTCTCCTCTTAAGTGTTTTTATTGGTCTCCTTCATTTGTATATTGGTTTTCGATACATATAAAATACCAAATAGCTCCCCCGCGGATAGCTAAAAGAAAAGTCGTTAAAGACAATAGAAGCAAGTTATCGATGTATCGTAATAGAGTCCCCCACGTTTTAATCACTATTAATATTTGCTGTTCTAATGATCATCTGGTGTAGATTAACGGTGCATTACTTTATAACCATTGAAACGGAATTTATTCATCCATATATTTCCTCTATGAGTTCGATGATTTTTTTTTTCTGTGAGATCACTATACTTGACGACTTCTATTTGGCATGCAATCGTGCAGTTCGTTATTGTTTATGGTGCCTCGCGCATGACTAATCGCGATAGTTCACACAATCAAGAATTTTTCTAGAAAAGAAAAAAAGGCTGTTTAATATGTGCATTTACTATGCTTTTTAGTTTCGCTGTTTTCTTACAACATATCACAAAACGATATCAGTGAGAGTTTAATGAGATTAAACGTTCAGGTCATGTGTCAACTTTAGGGCTGACAATGTTTTCTTTACTATAAAATCTGCATTAGTCATTACGCCCAGACTTAAAATTTTGTGAAATTTTGAAAAAACCTGCTTTCGGAAACCTCACATCTTAAGGATTTTTAAGTAAACAGTCGGTATCAAACTCAATACTCGGGCTATCATTTCCTGCTCGTGTGGTTTTCTATTTCCTGTTGATTAATTAGGAAAAAATACATCCGCTTTTTACTGACTAGGAGCATACAACAGGCTTCTGCGTCAGTCCCCTGCAGAGGGAGGGGTGGCCATGTCCACGGGTGGTACGGTGAGATATTTTGGATAATCGATCCCCGATAGTATACAGTGTATACCGCTGCCACACGCGGAGTCGGTCTTGTTGTGCTACGTCAAACTGGACCATGGATACCTTCGATTGCCTCGCTGTCTTGCTTTTACAATGCCCTGTCACATGCTGGAATTACAATAATACACGTTTGTTTTGACAATGCCTACCTTGTTTTTCAGTTAAAGAAACAAGAGGTGGGGTAAGGGCAAAATTCACCCGTTTTCGTTACCTATGTGCAGCATATTGCAGGAGACTTGTTTTGTTGGGTTGAGGGCCGATACTGTACGTGATATGGCTTTGTTTACCCATTTTACCCGAGATGAGTTCGATAATTGGCACCTCACGATTGTATTCGTTAACTGGTTTAATTTCCTTCGTTTTATTTACAGCATTGGAGAGAAAACTTGTTGACGACAATCTTATTGAAAGGTTAACGGACGAAGAAAAGCAGCGTTTCGACCAATATTTAATTATGCATATATACAAAGCAGAAATTATGTTGTTTACGTCGTAATGTGCGACGGGGAATAAATGGATCAATGTTTAATTTGACAAGATTAAATGACAAGGGCAATATCCGGGTATTTCTGCATTGTTCGTAAGCCTAAAAGCAATTTTAATAAGCTCATTTCAAACGATCAGAGAGTTAAATTGATCTGTTTTTTCCGGATTTGAATCAAAATTATGGCAAAAATACATTGCTCTTTCATAGGCTTGGTAGTTTGAGAAACTGGAATGTTACAACACCTTTATCTGTGCGTCTGTTTTTATTTATTTTTTCTTTTTTTCTTTTTCTGATTTGAATCAAATTTGTAGGAAAAAAGTCAAACCATATATCTAGAACAGTATTGTGGTGCGGAAAGGGACGAGTATCTTAATGATCAAAACTGTAATGAAGATGTCAATATTAACCTTTCCCATATTTAATGTTTTTCTTCAATTTTCTGTTCCCCTTTATGTGGTTTTGTATTTGTTGGAATGAATTGATCCACCAGTTCTCTATCACTTTGATGTCGAATTATCTTGTTCACCATTTTTGACATTAAATTAACAACGAGTTCATTATTCAGTTCTTCACATAAATATATATACGAAAAAAAACATACTACGTTTGATCAATACTAATGCACTTTAAGGAACAGTGTTGAAATCAACAACAAGGGCCTACTGAAGACAACGCCATACAAGCTTCCATACAAAAGGAAAACAAAATTATTAGTTAATTAACATGTTAATTTTCATTTTATAACAAGTAGGGTCGATGTCACTGAAAGAGTTTTACCCCCCTGGTATGGAGGTAATATTTAACCGAGTGAATTCTGCATTGATCACAACTCTAATGGACTCCTGCTAATCATAATTAATTTTTGTGTAGATATTAGGGCGGGATCAACGGCTAAATGGTTATTGATAAGTGTTTTAGGGGCAATAATTCTTGTTCGCCCCCTACGGTGCACTCCCTTTTCCAGGACGCCGACACCCCCCCTCTCCCCCTCTCTCTCCCTCTCTCGTTTCTCTCTCTCTCTCTCTCTTTCTCTCTCTCTCTCTGTCTCTCTCTCTGTCAGCTGTCTTTTGCGGGTGAAGATAGCGCTTTGTATGGAACATTGGTAAAAAATAGCCCAGTTTTGAGTTAGTAACTAACTGAAGTGAAATTTAATAACCTTTCACTAATGAGTATGATGCGTTGTCCAAAATATTAATTGTCGTAAAAATTATAACAAATAAACTGTGTAGTTTGAACGTAAATACTTAACAAATAACTTTATTGCCTTTAAAAAAGTACTCCCAATTATCTGTGAAATATGAACATCCTAAATATCTTGTGTTTCTCGGTGTGTCAAACATATAAACACGATATATTCAATTTTGACAACATGTAATTGTCCATGACTTAATAGTGAACATGTGTTCAAACCCACCAAATTAGAGTATTATATTTTCTTAATTTCTGACATTATTATCTCAACCAATTAAAGAAATAATGAACACAAAGCCATCATCATTACTTGCTATTTTCAAATGTAATTGTACAAAAACAATAAACACGAGCTACAAATGAGCCCTCTCGATCAATCTATCGAACTAAACAACGCACGCCACGATCAGAATCTCCCCCAAGGAGTCACTCTCTTTGTTCTACTGTTGATAATTACCCCTGTCCTATTGTATTTCGTTTGATATCTCAATTGACGCGCTCAGTGGTGTGTGATCGCCCATTGTCCAGGGCTAATTAAGACTGACCAGTCACGGCTCCTGCTGACCCCGACCAAAGGTCCGAGCACTACGATGCAGTGGATGATGCCGTTATCAATATTACCGCTTTTGACCTGCACCGTTCTGATTAATTAAAACATGTTAAATGAAGCGGAGTAATTTCTTACAAAGAGTGATGACGACCGAAAGGTTGCAGGGTTTAGTAATCTTCTCTTGAACGCAAATGTTTTCGTACCCAATTTATATTGGTCTTCCGCGCCGTTCAAAAACTGTTTGAAATAAAAAATGTTAATCTGATAATTTGAATCAATCAGTTTTCTTTACATAACTGCCAATTTTCAATCTAACAAAATTTCATAAATTAACAAATTAATAATCTAATCTGTATTTGGACATCATCATCCTAATTTAATCACCGAGAAGCCTCTCTCTCTTTTTCTCTCTCTCTCTCTCTCCGTATTTTTCAATATAAAATGCTGTTGCTATAAGTATTTGTTCTTTATTTTGTGCACACCATTGGTCTAGCATCCTTAATAGCCAATAACTCGACCAATTTTTGCCTGAGAAAATTAATTTCATTAATCATTCAACCGAATCTTTTTTATTTTATTACTATCCCATAATTGCGAAGCACCGCGAGGGACCATACCGCTATTTTCTCAGTGTCATTAAAACACAATGCCATTTCATAAACCAAATCTGCGTGGATTACAAAGATGAAATCTCTGATGATAGGATCTAATCGACATTCACCAATACATCACCTAGAAACTCATGTCATTGGCAGGCCTGTTGTCTTTTACAATGAACCTGTATATTGCTTCGTTGGCTGTGGAGAAAGGGAAGGTTAAAGGACACACATGTCAGGGCAACGTGCAGCAACTTAATTAAATAATTAAGGTTACGCACTTAAAATGCGGCACCTTTCCATGACCACACCTGATAAACAAAAATCCACTGACATTTTTACTCGTCATTTATATGAGTTAATAAATACGTTCAAAAAACAATTTAGTAGGGCCCGTTTATATTTCACAGTTAGTTCGTCCTATCTTTTTCGTGATATTTTGGCAGATTTTGATTGATTAATGTTAACCGTTTTTAACATCTTCGTAAATTTTAAGATTTCTATTAATAATTATTGGTATTATTCATGTTGAGCTTTGCACTATTTTTTTATGTAAAACACTTCCATCATTTTCTTTTTATAGTTCAAAATTATATTGTGAACCACTTTTATTTATTTATTTTGCTCCTTCTCGACACTGGTCTGTGTCATACCAAGGGAGAATTTCAAATAAAAGTTTCTATGCTATTTTTTTTCATTGCATAAGTTCCATTTTATGCGTAAAGTGCATTTTCGAATTATGAAATTTAAGTTGAAAAAAAGCGTGTATGCAGGTTCTTCTAGCGATATGAAAAGATTAATTCTTAAAATACCACGCCAAATTACGGTCTAGCATGCATGTTTCGTTGGGTGGAATGGTGCAACTTTTACCCGAACAGTTATACGTTGTTTAAGCAAAAGTACCATCCACCCGAAAAGAAAATGAAGTAAGAAGCTATTCATTCATGCGACGTGGCATCTACGATCTAAACGCTCATATGTTTATGGAGCCATATTAAAACCCTTCCAAGTTAAACCATAGCAAGTTCTTTACCTAACCCCCACCGCAGTCCTTACCCTGTCATTAGACACTATTTAATGCAAACAGTATTATTTGTCTTCAGTCAAGAGTCAAGTGGTCGTTAGTTAATGGGAAAAAGCGTGATCAATTAGAAGAGATTTAGCTACTAAGACGTTTTAATGAGCGGATTACGTTAAACGTACCTGAAATCGATAGATCAAAGGCGGA